CTTGAATTAAAGATAATTGATTGAGCAATTGCACCTTAAAATATTTACTTAGCATTCAAAATAATCACAAAAAATTCAAATGGTGAAATTAATGCAGCTTGAATAGTAATACCGTGAGTTCTAATTTGAGTATGTGTTATTTCTTAGTCAGATTACTCTTTTCTACACACACACACACACACACATAAATTTACTATTAGTATTTTAAATTAAGTCGGAACAAGATTTTTTCTAAATGAGAATATATATATATATAATATTTTATTATTAATATTTTAAATTAAGTCGGAACAAGATTTTTTCTAAATGAGAATAGCTTAATTGATAATTAATAAAAGTAACATAATATTTTGGTTTAAAATGGCGTCGTAATATTAAGGATTAGCCTTTTGTAAAATAATTTATATTTTGTTTGGTTATAGTAGTTAATATTCTGCTTATTCTTATCTTTAATATCAAATAGAATATTAAAACGGAAAATGTTACTCGCTTTTAAACTATAAAGCAAGAGAAAAAAATATTTACAAAAATTAAATATTACATAATTAGTACAATATTTAATTAGTGTATTCATTTAAGGGAAAATTTATTTTTCAAATCTGATGTAATTGTTTCTTTTGAGTTGAGAGTCTATCAGAAACAATCTCTTTACTTTTGCGAGGTAAGCGTAAGGTTTATGTATACATTATCATCTCCATATCACATACTATAAAAATATATTGGGTATATTATTATTGTTGATTTAAGGAGAAATTGGATGTGAGATGATAAATTTAAGTGGAGTTCACATAGTCAATAATCTAAACATGTCCATAGGAACGTAAATTGTAAAATTACGGTGTGAAATGATATTCACCCTCATGATGTTATCAATTAGTAAATATGCAATACCATAGTTCGTTATTTGAGTTATTCATAATTTTCATACTATATTAGATGAAAAGAACTTTAATCATTAATTTGTTAAAGAATTCTGAGAGTCAATTGTGCTAATTAGTGAATTCGACGTATGATGTGCATAGGAACTGTTGGGCGATCCACGAGCGTTGAGAGTTAGGCGTGTTTAGGGCGTATAATCTGGCGCTTGGAGGCGTAAGCCTCACAGAACTAAGCCCCACATATGAGTCTCAAGGTGCTTTGATAGTGCCCCGCCCCCGGACGAGTCCCAAAAAGTCTTTTAAAATACTGATAAACATTAGTACATATTACGATATATTTTTCCTCAACCTATTTGCTCACCAAATTTGACATAATCTGCCCATTTGATACCCTAAGATACAAGCTTATTTTGCTACTAGCAAGGGATACAGTACTTAGTAGGGGTGTCAATGGTACGGTTCAGCCGATAATTTTTAAAAAATTATACCATACCAAGTTTTCGGTTATTTTAATGTACATAACTAAATTTAGACTTTTCAAAACCGTCCCAATCATTCGGTTTCCATTCGGTATCGGTATAGTTCGATAATTTTTCGGTATTTTATTTAAACTTCATCTAAGTATCATACCATTATTAAAATGTCTAATTCCTTATACAAAATAATAAAAAACTTTATGTGATACACTAAATATATAATTCTTGTACCACGTAGACTGCTATGGTTTTAGATTGGTACTGGCCATGAGAATTGATGCAAATTTTACTGTACTCTTTTAGTCTTTTACGTGACTTACAATCAACTACTATAGAAAGAACATTAGAATTTATCCATAGAAACTACACATCATGTAAGCTAGAGTATATATGAAAAATGGTATTCTACAAAATATCGCAAATGCCATATAAACCAGGAAACTCAAAGTAAAGCTTATCTACTTGCAGCGATTTGCTGTAAAATGTTCTCTGGAAATTTGCTAAAAGTTTTGCATAGTCATAGTAAAACTACCATTTAGAAAAGTATCAGCTAATTTCCAACAAAACTAAATACTAAGAAATGATCTAGCAAGCATCAAGGCAATAAGGACGACAGCACAGAAAGATGTGAATTGTGAAAATATCATCTTCCTTCTATATCTGTGGAAACAAGACAACTAAGTTGTCATTATTTCATGATAAAATGCATATTTTATGAAAAACTAACTATATAGTAATTTTACCAGCGAGAGTTTTGAACCTTATTCGTCAATACTAGTAGAGATGGCTGCTGCAGAATTTAGACAATCTGCAAAGTATAAGATAAATAAAATTGACTAAATAACCATTGTAATATTCACATGAACAATGAAAAATTAAATTAATAAAAGATTTTATTACCTTCTTCAATCTCCTCAATCTTCTCGATATTATCCAGTGATTCACGTAAATCAATAGGAGTAGACCGCAATCAATTTTGTGCACAAATAAGAGCTTCCACTGTTTTAGGAGTTAGAGAACTCCTAAATGAATCAATTACACGACCACCGGTGCTTAAAGCTTGTTCACTAGATACGGTAGACACTGGAATGGCTAGAATATCTTTGGCCAACTTTGAGAGAATAAGGTATTTAGTTATATTTGCTTTCCACCAAGCTAAGAGATCAAATTCAGTTTTCTTTTCTATCAGCTCGTCACTCAAGTATTTGGTTAATTATCTCTGATGTGTTCTCTGTTTTCTTTAGCAATTTTATGCGCTTAGAGAATTGAGAATCAAGGAAATCTAAACTTTTATCACATTCATTAATATCCATCCATAAACTTCTTTAGAAGTTAAATCTTCAATTTTTTCTTGTTCACCACTGTATAGTCTCTTGTAATCATGATACAACTCATCTAAAGATTCCGATATACTAGCAGTCCTTGATCTTGTTAAGACATTATCATGGCCATACATTTCACCAAAGCAAAACTCAATATAATTTAACTTGTAACGCGGATCTAGAATAATAGCAACAAACAACAAGTAATTGGTCTTACTGTTAAAAGACCAATACTTATCAAATTTCTCCATCATTCTTAATACCATGCTTCACATGTCATCATCCTCATGAACAGAAAGAGACACAATTGTAGAATGAATAGCAACTAATTCACGAAAAAACGTATTAGAAGTAGTATACAAAGAGCTTGAAAACTTTAATGTCACACTATAAAATAACTTTAAAAACTTTGCAAAGCATCTTGCAGCTTGAAAATCATCATGCTTAGGAGGGCCAATGGTTTTCTGATCTCTTTTTTTCTTATTCACAAACTTCTTCCTCCCATTGTTCGCTTCTTCACAAGAATTATCAACATCATTAATTTTAGAAGATCCAGTAGTTTTTTAATCTTTTTCTTTGTTATTTCTTGTATCTTTCTTTTCACATGTCGCTCCATTATAACCTCCTTCAAAGTAGTTTCTATAATTTGGACCGTCTAATTCCATCCTTACAAAAGGTTTCTCAAATTTCTCAACATGTTCCAACATCTTATATGTGAAATTCCATCTAGTATCAACGTCAAGACAAACAAGATGGTTATATGAGATCTTTTCTTTCTCAACACATTTCTTGAACAAACTATATTTAGCAGGAGAAGATCGCATATATCTAATTGCATTTCGAATCCTAATAATGGCCTTATCTTGCTCTGCTAGGCCTTCTTTTACAATTAAATTGACAATGTGGGCAGCACATCTAACATGCATGTATTTATTCTCTAAGATTGAATCTTTCCACTTCACACACTTCATCAAGTAATCAAGACAAGTATCATTTGAACTTGCATTATCTACTGTCATTGTAAATACATTTTCAATTCCCCAATTAATTAAACATTCCTCAATAGAACCACCAACAATCCTTTCTGCATGACTCTCAATGAGCTGAAAGTTTAAAATTCTTTTTTAGTACAACCAATCATTGTCAATCTAATGTGCTGTAAGACACATATAATTAAGATTCTGAATTGACGTCCAAGTGTCCGTGGTAAGGCACAAACGATGATTTTTAATTAGTTTTTTCAACTTGACTTTCTCTTTAACGTAAAGCTCCAAACAATCTCTTACCACTGTATTTCTCGAAGGGATTATGAATCTAGGTTCAAGTGCTCTAGTGTATCTTTCAAAACCTTCCCCTTCTACAATCTTAATAGGTGATTCATCAATTATAATCATGGCAGCCAATGCATTTCTAACTTCTTCTACATTAATTGGTCTTACTTTACCAGTTTCTTTACCATCACCCTTTTCAGCTTTAATGGTAAAATCAACTATAGATTTTTGTTTTGTATCGCTTTTGTATGGATATAATTTACACCGACCGAACCGATCAAACCGAATATAACAAAGTAGTATATTTGAAAAGCTATAGATTTTTACTATAGCTTATAGATTTTTGTAGGGTTATGTAGGTTACTATAGCCTAACAAAGCAGTAGATTTTTATAGGTTACTATAGCCTAACAAAGCTATAAATTTGCCATAAAGCTTTGTGTTATGTGATGTTTTCTATCTTATACCATATTTGAAACTTATTTACTAAAATTATCCATAATTAGTATATTACCTGTCCTAAACAAGTTTTTCTTACAATTTATATACAATCCATTATTAACGCCTTAAATAGGGTATTTAGTTACACAATTTTCCTTATTTTTTTTTTTTTCTCGTCTCCCCTCAATTTCCCTAAAGAACATAAAACAAGTGTTTTCTTTGTATACACCTTCACTTTAAAGCTGGGCATTCATCAGATTAAGATTTGAGGTTTTTTGCATTTCTGGACTTATGTTAAACTACATTCATTAGAAAGCAACCTTAGGATTTTAAATCCTCGTCATTTATTGACTCTTGTCTGTTTTTAAAATTTGACCTTTTGCTTAATCATGGTACTACAGCTTAGGAGGTCTTGATCTAGTCTTCCCCCGCGAATTGTTTGTTCACTTTTTGGTGTTATCAATAAAAATCAACTACTTCCTGGTGGTTTTATTTGAAAAAGCAGGAAAGAATAAAATAAAATAGAAAAGTCGAAGAAAAAATAACAAGACACCAAATATAAATTGGTCAAAATTGTTGCTATGAAAAGTCATGATAGTCTCTTTCCACAAGCTTTCCTACAAGAAACATGTCCAGATATCATTTGTACTCAGAAAAAACTTTGAAAAAATCTTACTGAAAAATGTTTCAAATCATTGACTATTCTGAGTTGCACTTTTGGCTTTGAACAACCGAAAAGAGATGATCATACTATTATTATCTGCAGCAACTGTTTTTTTTTTTTGGTCTCTAGCTGCCAAAATGGAATCTTTAGCCAATTACATCTTCTTCCTCATCTTGACCTTATTCTGCCGCAAAAAATGTATCATTAACCTTTCATCTGTAGCTGCAATAACCTCAATGAAGCCTGGTGATGAACTCAATCACTCACAAGTACTTGATTCAGAAGGTGGAAAGTTCAAGTTAGGATTTTTCTCTATCCCACAAACGAATAAAAATTATCTTGGAATATGGTATGCAGGTGATCCACAAGATAAGAAATTATGGATAGCCAATCCGAATACACCTATATTGAACAACTCAGGATTGCTCACCATAGATTCTACAGGAATATTGAAAATCACCAGTGGAGGGAAGACAGTTGTGAATATTGCCCCTCCTTTATTGACAGGAAGTTTAATAGCTAGGCTTCAAGATTCTGGAAATTTTGTGCTTCAGGATGAAACTCGGAATAGTACTTTATGGCAAAGCTTTGATCATCCTACCGATTGTCTTTTGCCTGGTATGAAGCTTGGTTATAACCTTACAACAAAGCAGAATTGGACTTTAACTTCTTGGTTGAGTAGTTATATTCCGGCCTCGGGGGCTTTTACTTTAAGTTTGGAGTCCATTCAAGATGCATTTCAGTTGGTTATACGTCGAAGGGGCGGGGTTTATTGGACTAGTGGATCTTGGAGAAATCAAGGTTTTCCATTCTTAACTGCTTTGAATGATTCTTTTAACAGATATCAGTATAATCTCAGCTTGGTGTCTGAAAAAGATGGCGTGTTCTTCCAATTTGATGCTCCAGAAGGAAGTTTCCCAAGTCTTGAGTTCTCTTCAAATGGGGCTATTATTGGCGGTGGTGAAGACGGTCGTATATACGCGCTTTATAATGAATTCTGTTATGGTTATGAAAGTGACGATGGTTGTGTCTCTACTCAGTTGCCTGAGTGCCGAAAGGATGGAGATAAATTTGAGCAAAAGAGTGGAGACTTTATTGATAGATCTTATAATAACTATTATGATAATGCAAGCATTAGTCTTGGTGATTGTATGCAGAAGTGCTGGGAGGACTGCAGTTGTGTTGGCTTCACCACCAGCAGCGCTGAAACAGGATGCGTGATTTGGAGCGGAAATGGAGAGTTTCAAGTCGATGAGAGTGGTAACACAGTGAAAAAATATGTTCTGGTTTCATCAAAATCATCTAAAAGTAAATCTTTATATCAGGAATACACCTTATTTATTAACTTATATAGATTGTATTGGTCAAGGGTCAACCATATAACATTCAATAATGCAGGAAAACAAAAAACTTGGATATGGATAGTGATTGTTGTAGCTGTTGTTATCCCTTTGCTTATATCTGGTTTCATCTTCTACATTATAATGAGAAGACGCAAACTACAAGGTAAATCTCCAAAAAGTGATTTAGCAACTAGTATGTTGTTTATCAATTATGTGGATCATGTATTTAAATCTACAAACTTCTCTTTCACAGATGAGAAAGAAAAGGAGGAAGAGTATATACGTGAGTTGAAAGCGTCAGACAGCTTCAACAACACAAATTTGAGAGAAGAAGATGGAAGGGAAGTACATAATTTGAAGATATTTAGCTTTGGATTCATATTGGCAGCCACAAACAACTTCTCGATTGAAAACAAGCTCGGAGAGGGTGGTTTTGGACCTGTTTATAAGGTATATTTACACCATGTTATATGTGCCCGAAAAACTTTCTTAGTACCATCACTGCATAACTGAATTACCTTTAAAAAAAATCTATGACAGGGAAAATTTCCAGATGGGAGAGAGGTTGCAGTCAAGAGACTTTCAAGGACATCAGGTCAAGGGATTGAGGAGTTCAAGAATGAGCTTATACTAATTGCCAAAGTTCAGCACACAAATCTAGTTCGAGTTATAGGATGTTGTATTCACGGAGATGAAAAAATGTTGCTATATGAGTACATGCCCAACAAGAGCTTGGACTTCTTCCTCTTTGGTTTGTTATTATTCCAAAAAAAGACGAAATCATCAAGTAGTTTTCAAAAATTTTGATGAAATACTTTCTGTCGTTGGCAGATCCTGAAAGAAAGAAGCTACTGGATTGGCAGAAACGTTTTGACATTATTGAAGGAATTGCTCAAGGATTGCTCTATCTTCACAAATACTCAAGAATGAAAGTGATACATAGGGATCTTAAAGCTAGTAATGTGCTGTTGGATGAAAACATGAATCCCAAGATAGCTGATTTTGGTTTGGCAAGAATTTTCAAACAGAACGAGACGGAGGCAGTGACTCGCAGGGTTGTAGGAACATAGTGAGTTGAGCTTGTGTTATTTCTTGATATCAATTCACAAAACATGTAGAATATTCATACTGATTTGAGTAGGAAATTTCTGTCTTTACACAGTGGTTACATGGCTCCCGAGTTCGCCATGGAAGGAGCATTCTCAAGCAAGTCTGATGTCTTCAGTTTTGGAGTCTTAATGCTTGAAATTGTGAGTGGTCATAGAACTACTAGGTTAAAACAATTTGATCGCCCACTCAACTTAATAGGTTATGTAAGTTTTCTTGACACCCTTTTTAAGTTTTAAGTATTAAAATTACGAAATTTGAGATAATTGATCATTCTGGATTAGGCATGGGAACTATGGAAGGAAGGGTGTGCATTGGAATTGAAGGATCCAGCTCTTGGAGATCTGTGTGACACTAAACTGTTATTACGAGTTATTCATGTCGGACTGTTATGTGTACAAGAAGGTGCAACAGATAGGCCAACAATGTCTGATGTTATCTCAATGCTTGGTAATGAAAGTATGGCAATGCCTCCTGCGAAACAACCAGCATTTTTCACAGGAAGAAATGAAGCTGAATCAAATTCATCTGGAACCAAAGCAGAACAATGTTCGGTTAATGATTTGTCCATCATTGTCCTTGAAGCAAGATAAGACTTCTGACACATTCTGTTGCTGTAATTGGATTGCAGATAGATCATCACTTAAGTTTCATCTGCTCATTGTGCAGAGCACAGTAACTATACAAGAAAAACATGTGTCCTTGTGGTATGAATCAGTTAACTTTTATTGTTGTTTACACTTAAAATTGGATAACAATTAAATTTATAAGGAGGTTCTAAGGATACGCAATTTCACTTAATACCTATAGACAAATATGAAGATTAATAACAGAAATGAACTATAAAATAAAGCGAACCAGTATTGAAACGAAATTCAATCCTCTAGAGTGCCCTCGAACTGACTGATACCAAAATAGTTAAAAATAAAGCAAAATTGATGAACAATCGTATCAACAAGAAAGAAAATTGTATTGTTTTTTTATGTGAGAAATGTTTCTTACAAATGGTTAACACTCCCCTTTATATAGTAGATGAGTTCTACTTATGGTATAACTCTAATTACATAAGGAAATCCCATGATTAGCTAATTAACCGTTTCTGATTTGATTCATTCCGAGTTACGCCATGATCCTCGACCAGTCACCGAAATTTACGCCGTGATCCTCGACCAGTCACGGAGATTTACGCCGTGATCCTCGACTAGTCACAGATATCTCGCCTTTCTGTTATTGTGCTATCTTCGATCTTGCTCGATGTCTGTCTCGTTTGGCTTCGATCGCTACTAGCCTCGATCTTGAAAGGTACCTCGGTTCTGAACTCGGTACTCTATCCTCGTAATATGGCCTATTCTGTTACGAGGCCATCCTTCGATGCAATCTCCCGGTCTCGGTCAAATAGTAAAATCGGGTGGGCCCGATTTTAACCGTATACAAATAGTCCCCTCATTTTCTGGAGTATAACGACAAGGAACGAACTGAGTCTTCTATTCTCTAGCTTGACCTATCATGACGTCATCATTGTCACTCCTCTTAAATGACCGAAAAAATCCCGTCAGTACGGTTCCCCAAGTCATTAATGAGCGTCAGTTGGTGGTTGGCCACTAGTGCTTTTGAACCGTCGCTGTAAATCCCATAAATATGCCCTCTCTTCATTGACTCAAATTTTACTTTCACTTTCTTCTCCAAAGCCTTTACCTCTTTCGAGTTTCTCCATTTTGCGAAATCCTCAAGTTTTGTTGTTAACCTTTTCTCAAAAATACCAAGTCCTACTACTTCCTTCTTTCTTCAAACTCATACGAAAAATGGCAAAAACATCAAAACGGTACCACAAAAAGAAGCTGCTTCATCTTCTCAACCGGCCGACGGGAAAATGCCGGTGGAACCCCGTATTGAGGAGTGTATTCCCGGGGGGTGTGCGTTAAACTCCGATTTCAAAACCGATAAGGCTTCATCGGTTCCAGGTCGATGCGAGCCTGTGTCAAGATATTTATGCTCGATAACAGAGAAATACCTCGAGCAGGTAAAGAAAGACTGTAACTGGGGGGATAAAGAGGTGGTGATCTCGACCACAGAAGAAGACATAACTACCTATGTAGAAGGGTTTCTAAGTGTTTATACTTACCTTTTCATGCTGGCCCCCCTCGACCCCGTCGTCGTTGATTTTTGTCGTCAGTATCATATAACCCTAGGCCAAATCCATCCTTCCTTTTGGCGAATTGTTATTCTGCTCTGATTCTTCGTGAGCAAAGCCGAGGGGATGCCTTTCACCCTCGACCACCTCATCAGGTTATACAGCCCCCGCCTCGAACGCCGGGCCACCAAAGTGCTATTCTCGAGCATAAACGAGGACAAGGACCAAGGCTGGATGGGCCGGTTCATTCGAGTGAGGAATTCCGACCTAATCCCGGCTGAGAAGATGCCATTTCCTAAGAGATGTAATATGAAGCGTAAGTATAATCCCACCGTTAGTTCTTATTTATTGTTTGGCCCATTTACTTCTTCTTATCGACATCCCTTTCCATGATGTAGCGGTTGCTTGGATGCATCGTGCAATTCCTAATCTCGAGAACTGGGTTCGGGACTTGGCTTCGACCTCTACGTACGCCGAGCGCTCATGGAGCGAATTATCAAAGGGCCGATGGGAGGCCAAAAATTATGGTAAGCCTCCTTTTCATATATCTGATGATTTGATCAAAATGTCTTTCTTATACTTAACCAATTTTCTTGCGTGTAGGCCTGGGCAAAGATGCGGTCATGAGGCCCCCGTTTGGCGAGGAAAATACTTCGGCCCCGGTTCCGAAACCGGCGAAGGACAACAAGAGAAAAAGGGCCTCGGCTTCCGAGGATCCAAAACTTAAGAAAAGGACGGCCCGTAAGCTGAGAAAGAACATCATCCCTCTGACCGAAGAATGTGTTCGGCATCTAAGGGATGAAGACGAAGAAGAAAACGATGGCTCCGTACTGGTGGCCTGAGTGAAGAAAACCATCGATGCCCCAAGGGCAGCTGGATCGATGGCGGTTGATGAGGCTCCGCCTCGAACTGAGGGGATATCGGAGAAGGACTCAGGAAAAGTCCCCGAGTCATTGGAGATCGAAGATGCCTCTCACCAAAGTGAACAAACGGTGGGTATATCTGAAGGGACCGACCCTGAAGCCCTTCGAACTGAGGAGAACGCCCCAAGTGATTCACTTGGGGCAATAGTAATCAGAGACTCGCCCACTCTCCCTGCTTTTTCCGAAGGGGCTATTTGGGAAGCCCGAGCTTTGGGGACCCTCGAGGTTGACAGAGCTCATGAGGGAGAGGACCCATTCCATGATTTGTTTATAGGTATCGAGGATGCTGCCGGCCCGAGTGATGCATCAAGTCTTTTCTAGGTCTCGATTCCCTTTGTTGATGTCATATTCTTCCATTTTCTTCCTAACTTTGTCTCTTTTTCATTTAGGCTTTAGCTCTTTATCAGGAGGCATTTTCCAAGTCTCGGGCAGAGCTGAGCCGATGTGAGGCTGACTTCCGAGGGCTTTCGGAGGAGAGAAATGCCCTCAAACTTCTTAGTGGGCAAAAAGAGAAAGAGATCGAGGATCTTCAAGCCGAGTTGGACAAGGCTCACCAAGATCAGACAGACCTGATCGGGCAGGTAATGACAATTTTAAAAACCCATGGGCTCGATTCAGGAACGGTGGCTAATATTTCAGTCTCTCAGCTGCAGCAGAAGATTGAGAGGATCGAGTAGTTCCGCGAGGAGATTAGTACGATAAAGGCGAAGTCCTTGGGGTGGAAAGAAGGTATGGACTGCCTTGCTGCAGAAAAAGATTCTGTTCGGGCCCAATTGTCATCGGCCGAAAGTCAGCTTCAAGGACTGAAGGAGAATAGTTCAGCTCAGGAAAAGAAGATAGGAGAGCTCGAGGCTCAGTTGGCTTCCGAACTTGCAAGGGCCAAAACTGAAGCCGAAAAAGCAAAGGCCGAGGCTGAGGCGATCGTGGCCGTCTACCGGGCTGATGCTGAAGCTGCTCAAGCCCAAGCGAGAGAGGATACTGAGATCGCTCAAACTCAAGCATATTGGATTGCTGAACTCGCCAAATACCAATCTCGGAGGGAAACCCTCGAGGAGATCCACGCTCGAGGTTTCGATCTTACCAATGAGATAGTAAAGGCTAGAGAGCATGAAGCCAAAGCTGGAGCGCTGGCCACTTCCGATGATGATGATGATGGCATCAAGAGCGGGTCCGAGAATGGGGAGCACCTCGATGGAGAAGAATCTGCCCCCGGAGGAGATCATGAACCTTAGGATTTTTTACTTTTTGATCTTTTGTATAGGATCCTGATCGGACCTTGTAAATATTCTCATATATATAAAGATCTCTTTCCTTTCCAACTTGTCTTTATTTCATTTATACCTTGTGAAAGTTTTATTTTATTTATGCTTTATGAAAGTTTTGTTCATAAGTTCGAGGCTTAGGAAATTTGATCGAAACTGAACTAGTGTAGTTTTTATAATTGAGTGAGTACTTGCTCGAACTCGGAGTAGGGTGACCCTTAGGTTTTAATTGAGTGAGGATGATTTCTTCGAACTCAAAATAAACTTTCCCTTTAGGCTCTTGAATTAGGTCGATACGACAATAGCAAAAATAATGGCTTTCTCCTACTTTTCGGCTTGAAACATTTATCGTTTAATCATATAAATTATGTTGTGTCTTAACACGAAATAAAGGATTTGCTCGAGAGTTCGAACGGTTCCGTACCCATTAGGATTTTCAAGGGTCGATATTATCGAGACCCTTTGTTTCGTAATGCCTTAGCATAAAATAAAGAATTTGTTCGAGAGTTCGAACGCCTTTGTATCAATTAGGGTTTTCGAGGGTCAATATTATCGAGACCCTTAGAAATTTAGCCGAGGGTAGTCTTTTTTAACCGGTTTGTGCAAAATATTCGAAGGCCTGTTTAATGATGGAAATCGGACGTCTCCGAACCGTGTTGATTTGGCCATAGCCTTTAACTTGGGATTCGCCTTTTGGGCTTGTTCCCCTGTTATACTTCGAACTTGTTTGAAGTATCAGTCCCTGAGTGGGGTGGCCGTGGCCTATATAGCCGAGGATTGCCTTTTTAAGGTCTTACGATCTCGAGGTTTAGTATTTCGATTGTGTCAAGTTTTTGGATGGCAGTCCCCGAGTATTAGGTAAATTGTTTGAATTTCAGTTGTGATCGGCCCTTAAGCCAGTTTCCACCATAGATCATAAGTATGAAATTGTAAAGTATAAATATTTCTAAAGCATGGAGCATCTGGTAAGGAAAAATACTTCTTCCAATAGATTATACATGCGTACATGTCTTGCCATTAGGGATCGAGTAATCTACATGGACATGTTTCATTTGACCGTTTGGTCCTCTACAAAATTTACCTATCGAGACCCTGTCGATATTAAGTATTTTCCTTATAACTATCTGAGAGTGATGCCCCCCAGTATTCGAGGTTGATTGTAAAGGAGCCTCAGATACTGTTGAATTGCTCTAAGTTAGCACGAACAATGGTTGCCTCATTAAAAACCTCGCCGGAAAAACCCATTTGGGATAAAATCCGGTCTAAGGGAAAAAGAGTGCAACGCGTGCTTTCAGACGTAAGGAATGCGTTTGAAGAATCCTTTGATGTCTTCGATTAAACACCTGCAAATGGTTAGTATAAATTATAAATGAAAATGGAGAAGGTCATACCTTAGCAGTAATATCGTTT